CGCTGTGATGCCGCTGCTGTGTCTGGGTCTCTGCGGGCTTGGCGTCCCCGCACCGAAGTCCTGCCTGTAGCGAGTGCGTGGGTATGGGGCGCTGGGGCTGAGGCTTCTTCCCAGCCCTGCCGCCGTCTAGAACTGGAGGCGAAAACATCCTCCCCCGCCTCCTGGCGCAGCTGTGCTGCGGGGCGGGACGGAGGAATAAAGGTGGTGATGGGCTGGAAAAACAACCACCGTCCGTTTCACACCCGGCTGCCGCCCAGAAATGGAAATACAGGGCTTTTATATCAGTGCTGAACACTCAATACTACACTACCTTAAGTTGCGGTTGTTAAGGCTGTCGTTGAAAGGGCAGCAGGACTTGGTGAATCATCACCGCGTTCAGCAGCAATGTTGTTGGTAGACCCGCTCTAAAATGGCGGAGAACTGTGAACCAAACCCAAGATGCTCGCTCTGGAGTCGCTCCTGTGCCTTCTGCGTATTATGCTTGGCAGTACAGAAACTGCTTATATTTAACTGAGGTTGTGCTTGCAACACTCACTCTTAAAAATACACAGTTTTGAGGCTGTGCTTTCACATTCACTCTTGAAAATACACAGTTTTGAAGCCACTCTGCTGCAGGAAGTGCAGCCGAAGACCTGGATCAAAACCAGTTTGTGCACAGAACAGATTTTGAACGTGAGGAAGTGGCAGGTTTAGGGCTTTTTTTTGGTATTTTTTCCCCCTGGAGTTGGAAGAGCAAGGACAGGTTGAACTAAGGCGTATGTCTTGCACAGGCAGGCTGGGATGGGGATGCTTAAGCGTGAGTACAAGCAGGAAGGGTGTACTGGCCTTTATAGGGCAGTTCATGCTTGAATTGCACATTACAGAAAGCTGAATTGTCATCTGGTGGAACAATTTCATGGAAGATTTAGGTTGATGTTACAGAATGTAGAAAACAGCACTGGCTCCCTTGAAGCTAGGGATACTCATTCAGGGTTCCTGGTGAAGTAATGGGGCCAAATAGTCCTTGGAAATGTTGACTTGGAAGCAGGCATGGTACAACTAAGTTTCTTTCCAGATAGTTATTTGGTCTTCTGTGCTTTGTGTGCATTCTGTGTTGCTCAGCTTTTCTTCCTGCTCTGCTTTACTGTGCAGAAGTGACAGCCAGGCTTTTCAGTGATGCCACTGTGTTTAGTTCCTAAATTTACACCCTCGCTGTGTGTATGGAATAACTGCAGGAACCATGCACGGTGTTCACTTGTAAAGGAAGGAAGTGCCTGAGGTTAAGTGTGGAGGGTAATTGCTATATGAATTCTGACAATAGGAGTGTGTTTTGACTTCCTCTCTTTTCTTATGATAAAGGAAGATACTTGATTTTTTTTTTTTTAAAGACCACAGAAGAGCTCTTCTGTTGCTGCTGAATTGTTCGTATGACGTTCGTGCCTCCTGAGCACCACAAAACCCAGGAACCATTTATAGCTTGGAATGTATCATCTGCTCATGAGTCATCAAGTTCTAATCAGCACTGGTGCTGCCAGAGATAGAGAGCTGTTTCACTTCGGTCCCTGAACAAACAGCTGCCCTTCTTCTAGGTGATCTTTGGGGAGAGGATAATAAGGAGGAGGAGCAGAAGTTCTCTTTGCTTTTTCAAAAGGTAGTACTTGATGTCCTGTCGCAGATGAAGTGTATCTTCCAAGGCAGGAGCAGCCCTCAGGAAGTAGCAGGCATAATAGGCTGTTTTCACTTGGACTTCTGGCAGTACGTGTACTGTTGTGAAGAATGCACAAAACCCCTGCTTCTGCAGGGTTGCTCTTGTCTGCTTCTTGACATGGCAGGTACCTTTGTCAGCTCAGAAATGGGGTGAGTACAAACCTGTGGATCATATCAGCAGGTTGCTGTTTAAAATTGACCTAGTCCTAAACTGCTTCCATATATCAAAAATTACAGGCATGTGAAGACTGGAGAGATTTTTGGCTTCAGGACTGAAAGATGGCATAGGTAGTCATAAGACTAGAGAGAGACCAGAGAAACACAACAGAAGTTACGGGTAGATGGAGTTTTCACTTTTGAGCATAGAAAAATGTGATCTGTATTGTATAACAGCACAAGTGATTATGCCTAGCATATCTGGAACACTTTGAGTCCAAAAGGAGAAGAACAAGAAGAAATAGCAAGCCAGTGAACCAGTTCTGGCAGGTTAGAGCAGACTAGAGAATACTGAGAAAAGATTGCCAGCTAATGCAAAAGAGTTTGCAATTGTGATGGCTGTGGTCATTGCCTGGAAAACCCTGAGTATTTAGATGGAGAGTTTTGATGTTGTGCCTTGTCTGATGAAACAGATTGCACACCTCACTTGTTGGCAGTTCATGGGGTTGGTAGTCCTGGGGTAAGTTTTCTGTTCCCTGAAAAGACGTCCTCTATACTGGCAGTGATGTGGTTTTGTGTCTTTATAGATAGATAGATAGATAGATAATGTTACTCTTCTCACTTTTGTTGAAAGTTATGGTAATCAGTTGCTAAGGCCATGCTAAAGTACTGCACTTGACTTCAAATAAAAAAGTCGTTTGAGGTCACCTCTTCAGTAGTATTTGCAATTAATTTTAATGCTGTTCTTTCCATCTAGAATTAATTTGTAAGCTATATTGGATGCTGAAATTTGTCTGAGATGATGACTCTTGTTTAGATGAGTTACTGACATGATTTTGCCCAGGCTGTTGTGGGATGGCCTTCCTTCAGTCTTTTATGGCAAACTGCATTTTATTTCAGTAAGAAATGTTGAAATTAATTTTAAAATTGATTGAAATTAATAACTCTTGGACATGACCTAGAATTGTACATGTGAGAACTAACAGGCTTTAATTTCTCCTGTTGTGCACTGGGGGGGGACACTGATGGAAGATGCAGCCATACCAACTCTACAGATTGTGCCACACCATACCACCTTTATAACAGACTTCTACACAGGCAAACGGTGAGAGGAAAAAAACAAAGTGGTAGTAACTGCTTAACTATATATTATCTTACAGGTGGGAACCAGCGTGAACTTGCCCGCCAAAAGAACCTGAAGAAAACTCAGGAGATCCACAAAGGCAAAAGGAAAGAGGATAGCTTGTCTGCTTCTCAGAGAAAACAGAGGTAAGATCTAGCAAAGTTGAGTGAAATGGTTGGGCAGAAAAGGAGGGGGAAATGGGTCAGAAATAATCCAGTGCCTTAGCTGAAACAGCATTTAAGTACTTTGCTTTGATTCATGGTCCAATCATGTGCCGGAGCATAAACCGTGGATGAAGTTTTGCTCTATCTGCTGTTAAACAGGTTCTTTTTTTGTAAGTCCCATAAAGCTTTTCTTTCTTTTGAGCAGCTTTTTGCCTGGTACAAGCAGGAAAAGATTGTGTAATGCTTTCTTGAAGATCTTTGATCCATTGTGTCCTTTACTTTTATAACTGAAAGAATTATATAAGGTCTACTAATCAAGTAACTTGTCTGCTTCATTGGATAATGCATGCACTGAAAAAACACAGGGTAGTAAAAACAGTGTGCTCGTGGCTAACTGAGAAGTTTTATGCTAACCTTTTTCTCTTCTTGAAGAGAGGATTGCCAAAGGGCAAAAATAATCTGGAGGAGACTCTGCTTAGAAAAACTGTGAGCCAGTATCTGATATCCAACCCTTTTTTCTTCACAGAGACTCTGAAATCATGCAGCAAAAGCAAAAGGCGGCTAATGAAAGGAAGTCTCTGCAGGCAGGAGCAAAATGATCTGCCTCTATGGATAAGACAGAGTGCATCGGGGAAACAAGGGCCTGGAAGATCAAAGATCATTCATAGAAGTGTCTGGCCATGAAATGATTAAACATTTATTGTGCAGAGTTGTTCAACTAGCATTAGTGTAGAGTATTTTCTGGTTACTATAGGCTTAGTTCTCTGGAGTGCTGTTTCAAAACTGACTACACTCTTCTGCATGTGTATGAATAAAAGTACCAAGCAGCCAAGCATTAGCTTTACTCCAGCTTTTGCTGCATTTGTTAGTTTTACTTAATGGTTCCAGTAACAGAATTTCTGAATTTGCAGTTAGACCAAATATTGTTGTCTCAGTTCTTGGAAGTACAGCTTCATTCAGAATGTGCGTAACTTTCAGAGGTCTGAACTGTAAATCTCATCTTGAAATATTTTTACAATAAAATGTTGCATGAAATACTGTCTAACCTGAAATGGTTATGCTTGATAGTCAGTTGATTTCCAAGAAGTTGCCAAGAACACAAGGAATGAATAATATAGTGGAGAAATAGAGTACATATATGTAAGTGTAATATAAATAAAGTTTTTAAGAAATGCATATTATAAGCAATATCACATGCAGTGTAAGTCTGCACTATAGGCAGAGTTGCCTGTTGAATTGCAAACTCTCTTGGTGTACAAAACTGAAAGAATCTAGTGCTGATATTAACTAAGGAAGCTGCAGGCTTGATATTAATGAATTGCAGTGTCAGCAGATCTTGAAGTTGCTACATCACTAAAATTATTTTAAATAGTACTTAAACCTGCCTCAGGAATAAAAGTTAGTATGAGAAAACTCAGCCCTTGCTTCACAGGCATGCTTGAGTGTATTGTGTGCTGACCAAGGGAGAACTGTGCAACCATCCAGCAGCCACTCTGGCAGTCCCTTGCACCACCTGAGCTGAGACCAAAGCCCCTTCCCAGCTACACACCCCACACTCACACAGACCAGGTTTCCCACAGCAGAGTCTTGCAGCGAAGGTCCCTCACTCCACCCTTTTCAGCGAATGAATCCACGGGAGACTTTGTCCAGGCAGAGCTTCCTTGTAACTTTATTACTCCGTTTATATACAGAATAAGGGTCTGAGCTATGAAGCCAGCCAGGTATTACTTATCTGCACACATTCCACAGAAACATTCCCATGGCTGCCTTCAGCCACAGAGAACAACAACCATGCTTCAAACGGCTTTCCAGCTTGACCTTGTGATTCTTTTCACATACTCACTAATCTTAGCTCTGGCTTGCTCATGACCACAATATTTTGCTTTAATATTTTCTTCTATCATTCCAGTGGCTGGTGTTGTCTTGTTTAGCTGCTCCTACAGAGTCTCAGATGTCCTGATCCTTAATATAACCTAATCTTGGTGCAATAACTAAATAACAAAACAACAGCTCGAACTGGTGCCTCTGAAGGACGGACTCTGAACAAGGGAAACCTTGGGCTTTTATACCCGCACAGTCTAAAGGTGGGAAAGTTTGGAGGTCCTCAACTCCTGCTGTGTCTCAGTGTCTGGTCACCTGGCTGGCCCACAGGTACCTGTGCAGTTCCTGGCCTATTGCCTGGGGCTTTCACCACCCAGAGCTTAACCTGTAGCTCAGCTGCAGCTGCACCCTGAGCTACCTATGCTAAATGTGCTCCTCAGCAACTGTTTTTAGTCTCAAGAGAGAACTTTGTGGCCTTTGCTTGTGTCAGTTCTATCCTATAGTGCATTTGCTGCTTGTTAACAGGTCCCTGACACAGTTTGAGGAGAGCTGGAAGGAAAACGTAGCTGGTTCTGGCATCATAATACCTACAGCTGGTGAGAAAATAAGCAAGTTCACAGAATTATTAGGGTTGGAAGGGACCTCTGGAGATCATCCAGTCCAACGCCCCTGCCAAGGCAGCATCACCTACAGCAGGTTATACAGGAATGTGTCCAGGTGGGATTTTAATGTCCCCAGAGAGGGAGACTCTGTGACTTCCCTGGGCAGCCTGTTCCAGTGCTGTGCCACCCTCAGTGTAAAGAAGTTCTTCCTCATGTTGAGATGGAACTTCTTGTGGCTTAGTTTATGGCCTTTGCTCCTCGTCCTGTCACTGGGCACCACCAAAAAGAGTCTGGCACCATCCTCTTGGCACCTGCCTTTGAGATACTTATATGCACTGTTGCCGGTGTATTTTGGTTCTGAAAAAATCTCCGGAGCAGTTAATTAGGGGTGAGATAAGAAAGGGTTTATTTGCCAAGGCAATAGGTGATATAGACGCGCGCGCCGGCCGTGCCCGAGAGGTTACATTTTATAACATTATCCATCCAATCCCAGATGTGTCCACCCTTTGGCCCTTCCTCTGGACTGCCCTGGGCCCTCCCCCTGAGAATTTGGTCTGGGGTCTTTTTGGGACCACCTACTTCATTATCTTCAGCTTCATCAGAGTACAAAGGGTATATTGTTACCTAGTTTTTGACTGTACTCTGTGGTTTAGGCTGTTCTCCAAACAGTCTAGGCCTTTACCTTGACAAAAGACTAAACACTGCTACTGAATTCAGGGGTAGGTTGATATAGAAGGCATAGAATGGGGTAAGAGGGTTAGGGAATGTATAAACATGGGAAAGGAACAAGGGACAGAGGGGTTTCTGCTTTTAAAACCTACCTATAAAATTTACAAGTCTTACAAATATTAGAAAAATAAAAAAACCATTGGGGCTTAAGGCATCAGCACTAATGAGATCCCCTCTCAATCTTCTCTGGGTTAAATAAGCCCAGCTCTCACAGTCTCTCCTAAGAGGGATGCTCCAGACCTCTAATCATCTTTCTGGTCCTTCGCTGGGCCCTCTCCAACCTCTCCTTGTCTTTCTCGCACTGAGGAGCCCAGCACTGGATACAGCAGCAATTCCTCTGCTGGCTGCTACTCGGTTCAGACCTGCGGCGGTGCGTGTCCCCGTCCCCGTCCCCGTCCCGGCGCGGAGGCGGCGGCGCATCCGGCGGGCACGCGCACTGGGAAGGGGCCGCGCCCGGCGCGGGACGCGGGGCCGGAAACCGGGGCGCGTGCGCGTGCGCGGCGCGCGCGGCCATGGCGGACGCGGTGATATTCCGGCGCGGCACCGGCCAGGTGGGAGCGCGGCGGGAGCGGGCGGAGCGGGGCCGGGCGCGACGGGACACCGCGCTGACCCTGCGTTCTGTGCCCTCCGCAGAGCGACGACTCGGACATCTGGGACGACACGGCCCTCATCAAGGCCTACGACAAGGCGGTGGCCTCCTTCAAGGTAAGGGGGTCGGCGCGGCCGTGGCCGCACCCTGGGGTTGAGGCCGGTGGATTGGCGTTTATTGTTTTCCCCCTTTCTTTTACCGAAGAACGCCTTAAAGAATGGGGAGTGCTCGGAGCCTTCCGACAAGCAGGAGAAGTGCATGGGGATGAAGAGAAAAAACCATAAAAAGAACAGAAATAGAAAGAAGAGCAACACAGCGCCTTTGAAACAGGTCAGCTCGCCTGTACGTGCCACTCGTGCTTGTACTGCGTGTTGTACTTCTCTACGGTACTCAGAAGCAGCTTCTTCACCTTGGGAGTAACATTTTGGGGTGGGGGTGATCATTTATAAACCTTACTTATACGTTACATTGAGCAATTCCACTAAATACAAAAAAACCTGCACTGTAGGTGGGTGTAATCTTTCTCGTGGCTGGGACAAAAAGTAATTTAGGAAAAGGCACCTTTTCTCTGATTGTCGGCGTAGGTGTGGACACGCTTCTCTTGCTTCTGTTGCAGTGGAAAGTTGGTGACAGCTGCAGTGCTGTTTGGTCTGAGGATGGTAATTTGTACCTGGCAACTATTGCCTCCATCAACCAGAAGAGAGGCACGTGTGTTGTTACTTACACGGGATATGGAAATCAGGAGGAGCAGAACCTGTCTGATCTACTTCCTCCAGCCAGCGATGAAACAGTAAATGGGACGGGGAATTCTGGGGAGGTGAGGGACGCCTTTTAATTCTTTTGTAAAGGAAAGAGAAAACGGAACAATCAGCTTCCCTTAGTATGTCTGGTGGCACTGCTGGTGTTCAGAGAGAATCGATACACGATTCTGTTGTAAACAGACACAAGCTGATGGAAGGAATGAAAGTGTCCCTTTACTTCTTGAACTCAGCATGGAAGAAAGGGAGGGGACAACAAGAAATTCACCAGTGAAAGATAACATAGCTACAATGGTGAGCAGATAAAGTTGTGAGATTATAAAATCATTCCTGAGTAGGACTGGGAGGGCTAGAGAGAGGGAAGGATGTGAATGGGACTTTCCAAGCCTTTTCACACTAAAACTGTTAGCTGTGAACTCCTGTTTAGTGCATTTCCTAAAAATGTCTTGATCTTCTAGAATGAAAATGAGACTCCATATTCAACAGATGAGAGTGAAAAATCTTCCCAGTCACCTCGAAACAAAAACAACTGCACAAAAGCAAGATTCTCCCCTCAAAACCTGCGATTTCCTACACCACCACCACCACCAGTCCCAGGCCTGGGAAGAGTAAGCTCAACCTTATCTGAAATAATTCACATACCGCTGTTAAGCCTGGTATTGTAGTGAATACTGGGAGTATTGCATTATATTTATCATTTTGTAGAATTCAGTTGACAGCATTTTGGAAGGGATGTATGTTAGAATCCGTTGGTTTGCCATTTTGTGATTATCTGGCTACAGCGTAGCCCTTTTGCAGAGTTGCTGTATAGTGAGGAAAGCCTTTTGCTGCCTAGGTAACACTTGCTTCACTGTTGCCATGTAACTTAGAAGAGGGAAGTTTTTTCCCTGGACTGTGCCAGTGCTGTTAATGATAGTGCTGTTGATGTTTTAATATTTCACTTTTTCTGGCCAATTGGTATGTTTCACAACGTGGGACTTTGAAGGCGTCAAAACTGATGTCCACATGTCATAGAACCTTTAAGCTGTAGCTTCTCTACTGAATTATGAGGGATGGGATATTGATACACCCTTAAATTCTCCTGTGGTGTAGGAGTCTTAAGTAATAGTGTAGTTGAACTCAGCGTTATGTTTTCTAAATATTACTGTTTGGGCAAAATTTGTTTATAAGGTTTTATTTTATCTTTTTTCCTTCATATAAATAGATTTGTATCTAAGATCTTTTTTAAGACGTTCGCCAGTGTAATGGAATTTAGTCAGCTTGTGCCCCCAGCCACACAGGAGCAGAGAAATCATCTGTTTGCCTGTGTGCATATTAGATATGTTTCTTTCTGTGAGAGTGCAATGACTGACTTCCATTTAGGAAAAACTTTTTAAAAATGCCTGTATTAACTAGAGCCCCGTTTCAGCCCTGTTTACCTCAGTGACACGTGTAATGCAAGCTGTGCTTTTCCAGTCATGGAATGTGCCACAGAAATAGCTACTGGGTGTATTTTCATTAAGTTGCTGGGGTGTGTTGCCTGAAATTTAAGGCATGTGAATTGCTTCACGTAA